TGGAACCTAAAGTGTATGCTATATGTATTTATCTATTTCTAAAAATATTAGCCCCCCAGGCCTGTCTCTCTGTTATCAGTCCATTTCTCTATAGGTCTATATGTGACGACGAGTATATAATATATATGGTTGCGTACGTAGAAGGGGGGGGGGGGTTCAGCACTTTAACAACCTAATAAAAAAATTTCAAATATTTCATCTAAACTGACTAAAGTCTGAAATGATTGGACTAGACAAACGAAAATAAAATTGTTTTTACATTACAAGTTATTTTTATGAAATAAAATATTTTTTACTATACATATTTATCTGTGAATATTTTAAGTTTCAATCACTAAAAAAGCACCTACTTAATCTGGTGAATTATCAGTATTGTGACAACTGAGTAATTATTAGTTTTCAAGTACTCCCCCTGCAGGATTGATAAATCCTGAGTGCGAAACTAAATGTATATAAGACATCATAGGAATGTAACGATTTTAATATAACATTATAATAGCCGTAACAGAAACGTCCGAAACTTTCACGATGGATAAGTATTGCTCGCGGTGGGTGGGGCAAGGACGGGCCTCGCGCAACACCGCACGGCGCGCGTGTGTGTGTCATCCTCGCCGCGGAGCCGAGACCGCAGTCGCGTGCCATATTATATCCATCGTGTACGACCGACAGACGCGTGTCTTATCATATTATATGATACCGATCGATATTGTATCCTTTGATTGGATTCTAACAGGTAGTACATAATCGTATCATCATAACATAACAGTGCGATTGTCCGACCGTCGCCCGGCCAACCCTATGCGCGCCGAAGAAACATCCGCAAACCACAATAATATTTGAAATTATATATTATATTCGCATTCCGGACTGCGCTGCAAGTACGACCCATGGAAAGCGATCCCTGTCAGTGATTATCGTTTACCTGCAATTAGTATCGATCGTCCGGTTAGTACTTATAGTGTATTAATAAAATATATTAAAGAGGGAGGAACCTATATATATATACTGTAATATGTCCACCTGCAACTGCAGAATTCTGCGCAGCGTAAGTACCATGTTCTAAATATACAATATACCTACCTATTGATACTCGCGTATAATGTATATGTTATAATATTATTATCGCCTCCGTGATGATTGCTGTGCGAGATATTTTAATATTACTATATAGGACTGGTATTTCTATAAGAGCTTTGCATTATTGTTTTCCAAAGCTAGCCACGCGATGCTCGTTTTATAACGTATAACGTTTGATGTATTTTGGAATCAGAATAATAATGTTCTCATATTAAAACGTCCGTTTTTATTTTGCATTTTTTGAACATTTTCCATTTTAGGATCATTATTTTCAATTTATAGGGCATGTACATTAAAAACATTTGGGTTTAAAATGTATTTTAAGATTTTTACTTTAAAAAGTAACTTTGTAACGTGTGTTAACAATATTATAGGTTTTTACCTAATCAAATATTAGAAATCGCGTGATTTTTCGAACGAATCCACATGATATAAAATTCGAGATTTCGAGAGACAACAGAAAATTAAATGGGAATAGGTAATTATTTTATCAGATTAAAAGTCCACCTAACAAAGACTTGCAACTGTGCAGTCCTGAAAAACTTTTTTAAATTTAGTGACAAATAATTTTTAGTTCAAAACTAGGAAAAATAAAAATAATATTAAGTGCATTTTATAGGTGCGTTATTTCAAAATTGTAGGGCATAAAAGGATTTTTAGGTAGGGCATTACATTCTCAGCCCTTATCACAGTCCTATACATTTATAATCGATCAATATATTATTTAATATTGACAATATTGTACAGGTGTTCAATTTATCTATTTTCATTTTGTCGGTACATGTAGGTACCGTGTGGACCATACGTGTTTTGTTGTAGGTGAGGTTAGGTGAGGCTACATGTAAGTTCTATATTATTATGTGTTTCATTATAATATAGACGATGAACCTAATAGTTTTACCTATATAATAATAATATGATCTGTCCCAATAAACGCATAATGTACAAATATTGTAGGTACCTAAATATTATATATTAGCTAATATCACAGATTCAATCGTATAACCCACATAGTAATATTATGTATTAGTATATAAGTATTATGTATTCATATAGGTATATATTAATTTTATTTTATCGAGTCTCTCAGATCTCATAATTATTATATGAATCTACATACACTGTAACAAATGTAGGTAGGTACCTATATAACATTATGTTTTAAAGTTTAAACGATTTGATCTTTACGATCTGTTTCGTTTGCTTAATATAATATATTACACTTTTAGGTACGTTACTATTTTAAATAGCAGTGACATTTAAATTTAAAAAACGAATCGTTTAAATAAGAAATAAGAGTACTGCCTAATTATTTTAAGCGCCTTTATATGTGTTACAAGGTCACTCTTTATCATTTGAACATTTTTGATATCCTTATCAGCTAATTTTCATAAAGAAACAATACAAAATAGACTTCGGGAATAATGATGTAGGTAGGGGCGTATACAAAATAGCATGAAAACATCAAACTGTAAATGAACATAGCGATTATTTCACCGTGTATCTTAGGAAATATGATATTTTTAGAAAAATAAATGATAGTAGTCACTGAAAATCAAAAATGTGAAATAGTATGTTTTTAAAAGCTTAAAATATAGATACCAGCTAGGTATATAATTTAAACATTCCTTTTATTAACTGGCTTATGGTAAAATAATCACTCTGTATAACGTGCTTACTTTTGTATTAAAACCACGATTTAAGATAGGTACTATCTTAAATCGTGATTAAAACTATAGTAATATAATATTATACAATCAAATTATTATTATTCTAGTTGGTAATTTGTAATTGGGGTGTCAATTTAATGAGCATCATAAACTCACGATAAGTAGGTACCGAGTGTAGATTTATCAGTGATGTATTCAGAATAATCGAATGTAGGGTACTATAGGGTAGCTAGGAAATCCACACAAAATATAAACCATTAATAAATATCAACTTGATAACATAATATATAATGTAGGTTAGGTTGTTAGGTATATAAGTTTCATGCATTTTTGAAGTACAATTTTTTCACAATATAAGTAAATACAAAGTACTATATGTTATTTACCAATTGGTTAGATAATATGATATCAATAATTTTTAAAATTTTATTACCTAATGTAATACGCATATCGACACGACGAATGGGGAGGTTTCTGGGATTATCATCAATACGCCTTAGGTTTTTTTCACAATAATAATATTATAATATGTTATACAATACTACTAAGGTTTATCTATAAAAGAATATAAAATAAGAAAATATATGACTTTTTCTTTTTTGTACCTAATAATATTATATTATACGTGTTTCGACGTTTCGTTAATCATTAACAGTATAGCAATGATAGGTAGGTATATCTACTTCAGTTTCAGTACTTGTGCATAATATTATCATCTATTCCAGTTTAATGAGCAGGATAAAATGTATACATTTACATTATTAAATTATGTTATACGCACAAGTAAACGATAGGTATCTACTTAAATTTTATTACCGCGCGGAGTATAACTTTCGCTTACTAAGTTACGCATTCGAAAATACGTCGAAACATTTACTCCGCTCAAACGGTTTAAAAACTCTATAATATCACTAAACCCATATATTACCATCTATTAAATGTCCAGTCTTCCAAAATTTAAACCGAGAACGAATCGTTCTTGGTGAACGCAGAATTGAATTACGAATGACCATAGCAAATAGCACAATATTATATTAGAAAGATATTTAATTGACGTCAACTCGACAGTACTGTTACTAAAACATTGTCTATGACCTATGTTTATATGTTTTAAAAAATAATTTATTAAGATTAATAATGAGTCGAGTGCAATCACAGTATCACACTAATACACTCCAAAGTTGTAACTAATAATGGGTAGATAGGTATACCAGCTATAGATTGGTATTTGTATGTGACATTTAGATATTATATAGATTAAAGGTACCTTTAATCGGGTAGGTCCTACCTAATATGTAAATTATGTATTTATGTGAAGAAATTCTTAATATATAAATGTATAGGAATTATTATTATATACCTACTGATTGTAAGTCACAACGCATATTGTTTTAATTGACTTGCAGACAATATAATATTATGAATTGTGGTCAGTAAATCACAATTACATAGGTATAGGTATATCGACTATGATTAATGTTACATATAATATATATTTTATAAATCTAGTGAATACTAGTGAATATAATATATTATATATAAATATTATATATGTATAAATATAATATATATTATATATATATATGACATACATCTATTAATATATTTATATATTTAATGACATTTTTAAAATTCATATTTTTCTTTAGGATTGATAATATTTTTAAGTTAAACTTGTATAGGTCCTTTTTTTAATTTTAAATAATATTGTGCAGATCAGCTATATACATCGGTATAATACAATTATTATGTGCACAATTTCGTACGTATTCTCTAAACATAAAATTCTAAATAATTCACACTTAAAAGTTTTCCTAGATTTCATCAAAACTAAATAATTTGAAATAGTAGTATTAGATAGACAACTAGAAACAATAACTAAGGTTATAGGAAGTTCAATTTGTTTTAATTGAACAATATATTATAATGGAGTTAGGTGTACGTGTGTCGTGTATGCACTATGCAATTTATGTTATGTAGGTAGGTATGTACTATAATATAAAGGTAGAAACCAGTAGGTACCACCTAATTGAGTGACATTAAAATTTATTTTGAATAGTCTCGTTACAGTGCATTTTAAACGTACATAATAGCCGACGACAAAATAGATTGTATTTTACAATATCTATACTGTGAGTGTGTTTACTAACAAAATGGAATCAATTACAATACTTTTTTTTCTCTATTTATGTTGCGTTTATAAAATTACAGGTTGTGATGAAATGAATTTGGTGGTAAATTCAAGGTCAGAACATGTCCGTTTGCGATTGCTGGGCCAGTTTCAAGTTTTCTCAAATTGTAAGTAAAACGAACAATAAAAGTATAAAAATTAAAAACAATATTATATTATAATAGTGACAAAGTCCTTATAATATAGGTATTATACGTACATATGTAACATGTGAAATAATTATTTAATTATACAATATATTGGCAAACAACCTTCATGAAAATACAGGCTGTGGGAAAATTTCCAAGGTTATGATTTATTCTTCGTATTGCGTACGAAAAGTCTCTTAAAGATATATATTTGACAAAACGTGTAAATTGCCAAGAAGAATATTTCTTTATACTTATATGACGCATTAAGCTAACTTATTAGTTATTATATATATAATAATATAATCGTTATTCATTTTGTTTATATTTATTGTGACTTGCGAAGTACAAATTATAATATTATTAATAATATTCCACTTTTCTTATCTTTATTTACTATCAAACTGGTTGTAATTTTTTTTTTATTACGTTTGAATAATTTATAAGCGGTGCACGAGAAAATAATATGATATAAATATTAACGAGATATTAATGAATTTAAGTTAAATAATTAATTAAATTATGCATGCATTTAAGTAAGTTATTCTTGAAAGTGGTTTCTACTTAGTACTTCCACTGGTACTTAAAGGTACACTATAGTACTATACAATAGTTATACACACTAAACAGTATACTATATCGGACTGATTGTTACTCATTGATACAATGATACCTACATCATGTATTTATATTAGACATAATATGGTATACTTACTCGCAGTGCCGTGGCGAACTAAAAAATGTCCAGAGGCAAGTTACAAATATCCCAAGTATTAATGCATAATAATGTATTAATATAATATAATATAACTAATTATATTTTAGATCGTTATTGACTACCCACCGGCTACCACCCTACCCCTCTAGCTAAGAAAAATCTCATAGGAAATTACCAACGAAACTAAATCTGTTCAAGTAACTTAATCTCGATTCTCCACCTGTCACGTTAAATAATATAACAATTCCTAAGGCAAACGAAGTTAAATACCTTGGGCTAACTCTCGACAAACGCTAAACCTGGAGCCCACACATTAAACTTAAACGCAAAACTGTTAACTCTAGACTTCATATCCTTAGACCACTCTTTAAATCCAAACTTTCCCTTTCCAATAAACTTACTATATACAAATCAATAATTCGACCAGCTTGGACATATGGTATCCAGTTATGGGGCTCTGCAAAGCCCTCTAACACCAACATGCTTCAAGCTTTTCAATCTATCTACCTACGACTAATAACATCTTCTCCTTGGTATTTCACAAACAATAATCTTCACAAAGACCTAAAAATTCCTACACTTAATCAATTAGCAAAAGCACGCATTACTCTAAATTTCACTCCAACTTAAACTCTCACAGTAATCCCATTAATAAAGCAACTTTCTTCCACCTCACTTCCTGGCAATGTACGTAGAAGACTCAAAAGACAGTGGCCTAGAGACTTACTAAAATAAAAAAAAAATAAAAAAAACTATGACATCAAAATGTTATCGGTCGGGTGGTGCTGCTGAGTGCCAGCCCTTAAATGTTAAATTCTGTTATTTCACATTATATTAACTATCAAATTTGCCCATTGTATATAATGTTGTATAAATTGTAAATTACTTAAATATATATAAAAAAAAAAAAAAGGAAATTACCATTCACCACTCCACTAATCGTATCAAACATTTTAAGTTGGCTAATTTTTTTTATTTCATTTATCCGCATTTTAACGCATCCGTTGGCAATTACATTTTTTAACCTGCAGTTGATTTTATCTTTAAATTCATTATAATCCTATAACTTATGAACTAACACCTTAAAATAATTTACTAACCAAAATCGAAATCCTGAGCCACCGCCACCCCCCCCCCCCCCACGCAGTTTAAATATATTTTTATTATAAATTTACCTAATTATTTGTTTTTACACAAGTCCCAAGACTCTTTTTATGGTTTAGAAACAAATCTTAGGTAGTAGCCGGTTGTGGGTAACCTATACATATTGATAAGTAATATTAAGTAGGTAAATAAGAGTTAATTAATACAAATCTTGGGGGAGGGGAGGGAATGATACCTATGCAAAAATATTAGGAGAAAAGTGCCCCTCCCCCCCAATTACTTCACTGATAGGTACCTATATTATATAAAAAAACGCAAATATCTAAATTAAGTTGTCGGTTTTTGTAAATAATGGAATAAATTGATTGTTGTCAACTATATACATTACACTGATAAATAACAGAAATCTACGTAGGAGCCTTTATGTATAACTCGCTCGTCTATTGATTTGACATATAAATTATTATTGGTTGAGATATCATACGTTATATACTTATATACATTATTAGTAGGTAGCATAGATAATATTAATATAAGCGCCGCAAATTGCGTAAAGCGTAAACTGATATCTACTTAATTTTTTTACGTTTCAAGTTACTTATTTACTGAGCACAGTATGCAATAAACATATGTGTATCGAATTTCTTTTTGTTTGTGGTAAATAAAAAATATGTTTTTTATACTGCGTAGATACTTGGTATATATTATAAATATTCGCACAATATAATATAAAACATCATAATATACTTTTTTCGAATGCGTAGAACCTACCTATATATTGCTACATCAGAATGTTGGTTTCAAATACAACATTTTTATTATTATTATATAGGGATTAGAGAATTTCAAATATTTGCTCTTCTGGTTTTCTACATAATATAGCTGGGCGGCAGTCGTATGTATATATATACCGTTTCGAATCGCATATTAAAGTTTAAAGCACTCGGCACACATATTACAATATATACGAGTGCATGACCGGTATATATGACCGCGATAAGCTATTCTTTACCGTAATATAATATTATATAGAGACCATTATTGTTCATGCAATTGTGCCTTGCGGTCGTCTGCAAATGAAACGGAAAACCAGTTGAAAATTTAATTAAAAATCCAATGGGCAATATTGAAGTGGGTATATATATATGTATTATATTATATACGGTGTATCACTGCTCATACACATATCGTAATCATTTTTTAACTGTACCTACCTATATAATATATATTATATGATATGCTAGTTATGTCATTAACGCAATACAGCAGAAATGTACTTTTATCGACAAACGATTGGTTTTTCGGGGTGGTCAATTTACAGATTATTTAATATTTTTGGCGGAATCAAAAATAAATTACATAGGTATCTAATATATCGTTAAATTATATACCTACCTTTATAGTAAAAACTAAAAAGTAAGTTTATTTTAATATTTTGGAAAAATAACGGATAATATCGGATAACTAGGAGAATTTTTTTGTACATTTATGCATAATATATTACCTATATAGTGGCTAGTATATATTGTTTTCAATTTGGCAATAGCAATTATTATATAGTGGCCACTAGCTATTGAGTAGCAAAAACATAAATCTACCGAAAATTATATCAATAAAATAATAGTAATATAGTGTAATATACTAAGAATAACCACATTAGATCTATAACAGGCACAAGCAACCAAAAAATAAATATCATATTCTCATCGTGTAAAATGTCGACAACATTGAAATAACAACGCTATGAATATGGCAAAGTTTAATATAATATGAATACCAGCTAATTATTATTATTTTACCTATATATACAATTGTTATGATTCCTCTTGGCTCTGGATGATGTTTGACAAAAATAAACATTATTTTTACCCAGCTTTACATAATATTATGTTCTAAGATTTATGTTTACTTATGTAGGTATAATTTAAAATTTTTTAAAAATCGGGGTTGATAATTTATTGCCGGACCGAATGATTCAACTACTCTAAAACAATATGTATATAATATACCAGATGTATGGCTGTAGTTTATTTACCGGTAACCTCATACCGCGGCATAGGCGCAATTTCAACTTTTGACTTGGGGGGGGGGGCTGAATATATTAAAGGCAAGCAGACCATTGCAATATAACATATTGAAATTGTATGGCCTAGGTTTTTTTTTTTGGGGGGGGGGGGGCTACGGCTAAGTTTGAACCCCCCCCCCAAAGCCACCTCCAATTAGCGCCTATGCATACCGGTATGAATATATGATACATATATACACTGCAGGTTGGTATTAGCTACAAATGGTACAATTAAACGATTAGGTATAATATTATGTTGGTTATTCACTGTATTAGTAATTATTGAAGCAAAACCATAAATCGTGTTTCGTCATGTCATAAGAGTAGTTACTAATTATTTTGTACAGTAGTAGTTACCCATATAAGTTTATGTGGAAGTAATTTTATTTTATTTCAGTAAAAGAAGATCTCTTAATACTCAAGGTCTTGGCCCCTGGGAAATAATATAAAGGTTATATACCGTGTATGTATACAATATTGTACCTAAATGTGCTTCACTCAATGTCGTCTACAACTTGGTATAAAAAGTATAATATTGAGGTACTCTCACGTGTGAAGAAAGAGATCTATGTATTTAGGTATTTATCTAAATAAAATACGTAAATACCTATTATGTTCTTTTGTATAGGTATGAGGTATCATAATATTATACTTAACCTAGTGTATATACTAGTTCAAAATGATAATTGAACTCAGTAACAATTATTAAAACTGAAGGATAAAATGGTTGACTATACACCACTACTTCACCATGTATTATATATCGGCCTACATAAGAATTAACGACGCGTGTTGTGGGTACTCATCTATCAATAGATTTACTAACGACTTGAAAACGAATCTTGTGAGCTTAACGATCGTGTACGCGCATATACCCGCAGGTATATATATATTTTTTACATCATAGTTGTATAGGTACCTAGTATTACTTGAGAGTTGAGTTGAGTTGAATGGTCGAAAATTCACACTACCAACAGAATTTGGTTTTGCGCAGAATTAATCGATCACACTCCGGGAAAAAATGATAAAAGTAATATTGTTGAGGTATTGTAAATTTTAGATTGGTTGGTCGATATATAATGAATAATAAATAATTACCTTAATTATATTGTTTAATATTTATTTTTCATTTTGCATTGACGTAAAAGTTAAAACATATTAAATTGAAACGGGGTATAAAGGAAAGCATACCGCAGTGGCAGCATAAGCATTTTTTTGGACAGAAAAAATGTTCAACCCACCAACCCCTGTAGAAAATCTAAAATACTGATACTAAAATGTAATTACACCCGAAAGTCTTTCGGCGACAACTAAAACTACCCATTACTGCAGTACCCAACTTGGTTTGTATAATAAACTTACAAAATAAGTCATTTATCAATAAACTTAAGTTTATGTACCAATAAATAATATCTAGATATATGTAATTTATATTCGTAATCATTTGAACACAACTGTGGATAAGTAATTTATTTTTTTCATTTTTAAATTACCTTTAGGTATTATAGGCAGGTACCAACGTTTAACTGTTTAAGAGACCTTTATATATTTTATCTCCTGCGAAGAATGAATTTTTCACAGCTGTATAATATCTCCACGACGATAACGATTACCTATTAAAACAAATTAGTTAACGAGACCTCACCTTTTAAAAAGGTGTTCCGTACCTATTTTGTGTGTATAATACTAATAAGCAATTGTAATTATTATTGTGCGAGCAAGGCGATGTCTATTAAATCAAAACATGTTTATTCGTAATAAAAACATTAAAATAGAAAGAAATAATGCGCAGTTGAGAATGAGTAGGTATCTTTAATGGTCAATATCATTATATTATAACCTGCAGACCACTTGTATGATATATTAATAATTAATACGACTGAGAATTGTTTGGCTTATGCCCTATAATTATTGACCATTTTGTAGCTTATGTGTTAATATTTTCTGGTATTTATATTTCATGGCATGTATAGTCTTACACTGTACATAGACTACATAATATTATTATGTAGTTTTCTACTAGTCTGCCTGTCTATTGTATACCTATGCGCATATTATTCTTTATATAGTAACTATATATGTACAATTATAGTACAATAGTAAATTATACGACTTATTAGTTATCATTATACTAGCCACGGGTCATTCATGATACATCTATGTATAACACAAGTATGCTTGTGTAGGTAAGTTCATGACTCATGAGACAAATCTAACTATTATAGGTATACTCTAACTTAAAGCAACCAAACGGCAAACATATTATTTTAATACCTATACGGATTTTGCTTAACGAGTGAAACATTCACAGCACATATTTATATGTCTATAAATGAAATAAAGCTTTATGAGAAAAAAACTCAATTTAACCGATTAGCCGTGATTAGGCATCTGTAGAGTTTTTCGACAAGAAGAGTTTTGCATTCATTTTGCTGTCATAAATTACCTACTAATAATATTAGGTTTATCTTTTTTGTACATTGATCACATCGTGATGATTTTGTTGTTGTTGTTGTAGATTTTGTGTTTGAGCTGTCTACTCTATAAGAGATGGTCGGACGCAGAAGCCACCAGGCTGTTTTATTTCTTCGAGAAGTCGTCCAGGGAGTGGCCGTTGCTGAACAACATCACCAGGAACGGGGCCGGATCTCTGTTCGCAGACGTGACTTTCGGTGGTTACATAATAATATGCGTGGCGCTGTACATAGCGTATTTGATGGGCGAGCTCAAAAACAGCAAGAAAACTGTGAGTCCACAACCTAACCATTTTTATATATATGTATAATAAGTGGTGAATTTAATCCAGTAAAAATTTTAAAAATTAATTGAGATAGGTAATTTGAAACTCAAAAACTGCAGTAGGTACATATAATGCACTATAAAACCCGGGTAAATGCAATAAAAAAATCAAAATTTAAACGATAAAAATCTTTCATGTCGTGTTAAGAAAAAAGCTACCTATATTTTTATTTATTTACAATAAGACGTATAAGACAAAAATTAAAAAATAATTTATAAAATGCGCGTAAAAAGTTTAACCAACGGGAATTGTTACAAACGATCGAAACTAATAAAAAATGAAAAGTTAAATGCTAACCAAGACCTACAAATTCAAAATCGTCATAAAATACTAAATAAAAGGTTTATAATTGAATTGATTAGTCCTTAATTCAAACTTTATGCTAAGAAAGCTATATTTTAAGCAATAATTTAAAAATTACCTATGCATTTACCTACTTAATATGCGCAGCTATATATACTAAGTATAAATGTATAATCTCCATTATCCAATAGTCAAATGTCCAAAACGTATAATATATTCTATATTTCTATGTATATACTATATAGCCATATAGGTATAGATGAGGTTATAGATTAAATACCACTAATCACTATAGATTATATCATTATTCTAATAATCTTATTTATATTTACCTTGCCAGCCTACCGCTCTACACTCATCTTGAAGATCATAGTTTTAATGTTAATACAACAAAAATTAACTACTAACTTGTCAGTCTAAAAAATGTCGACCACCTGAATCTTTACTCCCCCCTTCGAACCACCCAACGAATTAATAAACATTTCCGTCGCAATATTGTAAACATAGTAATATAATGATGTTCTGCAGGAATCGTTTCTGTTGGTCATCGGTGCGGCGCTGTTCATCGCCGTTGGCTGTCTGGTGTTGACAGCCGTGGACAGCGTTCCCGGGAACCTGATTGTCAACGCGCTCGTGCTGGGCACCCTGTCCATAGTGACAGGCATGGTGTTCGTGCTGGACACGTGTCTGTCGAACAGGCGGAACGATAAGGAGTCGCACCTGTTGCCAAAAAACACTCGGTATGGCGACATTGCGCGCACTAGGGCCGCCGTCGAAGGTGCGGTGCATGCCAACGGGACAAACGGTGTGCATGCCAACGGGATAAACGGAGTGCACACAAACGGGACGAACGGAGTGCACGTCAATGGGACGAACGGAGTGCACGTCAATGGGACGAACGGAGTGCAAGTCAATGGGACGAACGGCGTGCTGAAGCGGGAGACGGCGGTAGAGAACAAGCAGAAAAACGGCTTGCTGCGGACGGCCGCCAACGGTCGGACGGTGGAGACAAAGAACGAGAGCGTTCAGACGACCACGAGTAGGGATCGTGGACGACCGGACGAAGATGGCGACGACGTCGACGGGGCGGCCGCACATCAGTACGGTCGTAGGTATTTGGACGACCGCGGGTTCGACGTGGGTCACGGACATAGGCACACCGAGTGGTACGACACTGACATGGACCTGCCAAAAATGAAGAAACTCGAAATCAACGTGCCGACCGAGGAGTCTCCGGATTACCGTCGCAGGTATAAATGATAACCTATAGGTAGGTACTTACATATTCGGGATGAAGTGAAACTGATAATAACATTTGGGGTTTAAATTGAGATTGTTTTTTACAACGTCTTATTAGTTATTATTGCCGTGTGCGAGTCAAATCGTACCGTTAGAAATTCAAGTCGATATTATTGAGTCGATAGTCGTCTTGATAATGATTTCTTTACTCCAGAACTCGAAAGACGTGAGCACGTCAAAAATTACTTTTTTTAGGGGTTTTAAATAGGCAATTTTAGGACATTTTAATAAATAAATAACAATATTTTAACAGTTCTTACAAGCTGAAGTCCTCCATGTCGTTATGAATAAAAAATACATTATTGGTCAGATACTCAGATTTATACAACTAAATTTCTGATTATTGAATTTTTTTTTTGTTATTGATGAATTAACTTTAATTTGGAACTTCAATCAAAGAAAAAATTAAAAATTAACAAGTTTCATAAATTAATATGTTATCATAGGCGTGTTCAGACTTTGGTAGACGAGGGGGCACAGCAAATTTTTAAATTGTAAGACCTATTTTTTTTTAGACATGAAGAAACATTAATTTTTCATGTTATAAAATTCACAATGGTAGGAATATTTTTTAATTATGATAAAAATGTATAACCATTGTCAAAACAATAAAAATATATTTAAAACTAAATTAAAAACAGACACATAATACATTGTTGATATAATTTATTGAAATAAAGTGCTTATAAATCCATTCGTCTATTATATGGTTTTAATACTTTAAAAGTCTCAATGACATCATCAAAGTTAATATTTCTTGCCAATTCTTGCTCGATACTGATGGTTAATAAATCATCCAGGCGATCTTGATTCATAGTGCTCCTCAGTTTGGTTTTTGATTTTTATAAAACTAAGTTTAGAAAATGTCCGTTCACACGAACAGCTTGTAACTGGTATAGTTACGAATATTTTAAAGGCTTTGAATACATTTGAAAATAAATCCTCTCTACCATGAACTGTAAGCCACTTAATCCATTCACCACTAAAAAAATTACAATCAAAATCTATGGGTATTAGGTACTGCAGGTACACACCACACAAATTTTTTTTATCCTGACATGATTTTATTGGAGGCACAGTCGGCCGGGGGGGCCAGTGCCCACCCGGCCGCTCCCGTAAACACGCCTATGTATGTTATCATAATTTATTCATGCTTAACTGTTATTTAAAATGTCATTTTTGGTTTCAGATTTGTAAACGTTAAGAGCGGTGTTAAACTGCAATCACCCAGCATTACTAGCACTGTGCACAATCAACAGGAAAGTCCGAAGGAGGAAAATGAGCATGAAGTGAAAAATGCCAGAGTACCGTATGTTTTTTCAGAAAAAAAGAGACCAACTAGACCTACTGATCTACCCTTGAAATCACCTGTGGAGAGGGTGAATGATTCATTACAAAAATCAGTTAAAAGTCGATTTTACTTTGGGGCGAACATGGAAGAGCCTAAATCGCCAAATGATCCTGGCTACGTGCTGCACACTGCATCCAGGTGGGAAGAACAACCTTCAGCAGCCGTGCCACAAAATGGATACAAAAACTTTAAAAGAAGTCAAGTATAGGTAATCTATGTAAATAAACTGTGTTAGTTATTATACAAATTTCAATAATAATAATATAATAATTTGTAGACTAGACTAGTATGCAATACAAATTATAATTGTAGAAATTTTCTTTCAGGATCTTTGGGAGAATTTTCTTCTTCAAGTACGTGTTGAGTTGGATCAAATGATTCCTTATCGTATTCTTTAGTACCCAAGATATTTGTACCTTTAATTCTTATAACAGTAGCCTTTTCAACTCCTAGCATCCTAGCATATTGAAAAGCTAAAAAAAAATGTCTATTATAACTTGGATAATGATAATAATATAGTTAACATACCAGGTGAGAGTTTCGCTTCATCTTCTGGAATTAATCCTTCGGATTCCACCCAATTAAGGCGACCTTGCTTCACTTGGTATAGAACAGAACCAAAAGTTACCAAACTTATACCGAAGTATGCCTTTGAGAGTAAAGCTTTTTTAGCCTCAGCTTCTTCAACACTCATTGGTTTCATGAATCTTCTGAAGAATCTGCGCACAAAATGAAATCTATCTGTAAAAATTAAAGATAACGTATTAATAGATACTCAGATAATATTATTTTAATATTTTAAAATAACTGTCAACGGTCCATTAAATAAAATAAAAATTAGATTCCAAACATTATATACATTGAAGTCAAAATATATAATGGAGCAACAAAACAATAACAACAAAAAACTAATGTAATATTTATTAGTCTGTTTATTACCTGTATTTAAGGAAAATGCACAAGTAAATTATTAAAACAATTTCTTAAATCTAAATTTTTCTTACTAAAATAATATATAATTTTTTCAATAAGAATAATATTTACTTTTTAATAAGAAGATTAGCCTGTAGGTAACTCAGTATTATTTGATTGGGTTTCTAATATTTATATAAAGTTTCGTACACTGCAACTATACATTAAGTAGTTGAAATCAAACTATAATAATTTATATTATAATTCTTACTTCTTAATATGCTTTCTATTCAATTATTTGATAAATATCTATTCAAAAATGATAATTTCAAAAAATTATTATAATCTATGATAAGTATTAATTATTTGTGAATATATATTTAAGTATGATTTATATTAAATATGTGTTTTTTATAAATGTATTATTAAATTACAAGTTGTATTTTATCTTGAAATTTAAAAAAAATAATTTTAATTTTAATGGACAAAAATTATTATTCATGTTTGATAATAATATTGGAATATTATATTTTTACAAAATAAATTATATATAGAGAATACATTTGTCAAATTTTCAATAATGTTATCTAATTATTTATTGTTGTTAAAATTATTTTTTTGTCATCAATATGAGAATTTCAGTAGCAATCTTTGGTAGTAGGATACATGATTAGTTAAGTATTATTAAGAAAAAGGTATTACCAAACGCCTTGGAAAAGTAGGTACCTAAATGAAATTTAATGAACACATGCACCTATGTAATATAAAAGGAAACTCAACAATAAGTAATAAAGAATAAAGATACTTAAGTACCAACCACAGTATACTAAATAAGTTAATCTTAAACAATCTTCTTTATTTATTAACATAGAAACAGATGACAATTTACTATAAAAAAAGAAACAGTATTTAAAACTGTACATTATATTTAAACCTATTAACATATTAATAAATAGGGTTCAAAACTTATCAAGCTATACACTATTTAAGATAAGTTTGAACCGCTCGCTCGAACCAAACACGTTTTTCTCGAGCATTCCGGACACCAGTAGGATCGTATGCACGGTGGCCAGCACCAGCGCTGACAATAGATGACTGTTGACCAATCACAGAACGCATAGCCATCGCATGGGGGAGAGGGGGGGGGGGGTTCAGGCACTGTTCAGATTACCAAAAAATATACCAAGTTATGTAGCTGAATTGTTTTTTGTTTATAATTAAGAACAAAAATTTATGATTAAATACAATTGAAATATTTATTAATTATTGATAAGGCAGAGGACATATTATATCCATAAAAAAGTACAACATAATATGCAAATAATTATGTAAGTACCCTAAAATATGTACTAAATATTATTTTTCTTAGCACCTCAATTAATGAATATTAGTACCTACAGTCACTGTAACAGTGGCACAGTGCTCGGGTGGCTTTTAAATTACTAAATTAAATGAACTGTTGGCTGTTTTGATAAACATATTTTAGAAGGAAATTTGCAAAAATAGCCAAAAAAAACAAATAATTCCTCAACCCAAATATACAATATAAAATAACAAATTTGAATTGTAGTAGTATGAAACAAATTTGTTTCTAGTTGGTCTGTATTTTCGATTGCACAAAATAAATATGTAAAAGCTAGTGTGTAAGTTATTAATCCTAGTTATTAATCTAGTATAATTATAAGCCAGAACTTATTGCTAAAATTATGGGAAAATCAGTATGTGTATAGAACCTGTGTATGGTACCTAATAATTAATACAATATCAATATAATTGAATGTTATAATTTGTCAAAGTGCCTTTTTGTAAGGTATAATAAAATATTCAAAAGTATGCAGGAAACATTGTTTTTAATATCACCATTTCAAAATCATACAAACTCTAAAGATAATCTATCAACTATTTAATCTATTCTATGACTATACAACCATCACAAAAAAACATGGAAAATGGAAATACAACAAGTCCCAGTTGGCAATTACAAGGGTTAATAAATATGACGTGTATGTCTAACTGTCTATGATAAAACTATATAATATATCATTATTTTAAAAACATTTCCCACTAATTTGTAGTTCTAAAATAAAATATTTGACATTTTTTATGGGGTATTATATAATAATAAATACTCAAATGAATATTTTATTTTTCATATTTTTTGAAATACATTTTTGTTCTTTGAAACTTTGTTGCTGTTGACCAGTTAAGAATATTATTGGTTAGGAACTATAACGAGCCCATGAGACAATGGAAATATTGTGATATAAGGCCAATAAAGATTGTAAATCTATGTTTTCTCAATTACATATCAAGTACCTAGGTATAAGAAACTAAAAAGAAATCATTATATTGGAATACACATTTAGAAAATGATATTATGTTGAAACTATTTTAGATAAATACTTAAATGTAGGTTCATATTAATAAAAATGTATAATACATACAAATAATAATATTATATAGGTACTTACATCCAAACATCTTTGGTTATACTTAATAGTTATTTGCCAAACCACATTTACAATTATTAAATTATATAAATTTTAGTTTATTTTTATATATTATGTGTACTGAAACGTAAGAAAACAAAATGTTTAAGTAAGGTTAACTGGTTAAGTGGAAAATGGCTTAAAAAAAGCTAAAAAACATATTTTGAATTTTCAATAAGCACAGATATGGATATCATGAACTATGACTAATATTATCTTGGTCCGAGATAATATTATCTTGGTCCGTGGGTGCTCCTGTACTACCCTTCCGCTGATAACAAAAAATGATAAGACATCACTGTTAAAAAACGGTCTCGTTTCAAATTAAAAATATTTATTTTAGCAAATAGGTGTCACATTGGTGTATGATACAACTCGCAAATATCTAAATTCTAAAGTACCGACTACAGGATATTATTATCGACTGAGTCTAGCGAGAATATCCTTAACCACCTGTCGTAGATTATACCTATAGGCTATCGAGTTTCGGCCATCACTAAAATTAAAAATATAAACATAATAATAGGTATCACTCTGTTTCAAAACCGACACCGAAATAAATAAAAATCAGTATAATTAATGGAGTATGAACGGAACCAAATGATAAATCATGGAGTTTATCTTCTGGGACCGCGGTAGTGGTGTCTAAATAGGTAGGTATTTAGTTTGTAGACGTTTTGATTGTAATCGATATTATCAATCTATATTATAAAAATACACCGTAGTAAGTTCGCGGCAATCACTCGTCGACCGGAAACATGATCTTTTCACGTCCGCATGAATTTCATTTCAGTGTTTACTTGCGGCACTTGAACTGTTTCCGTAATCCGTATATCGATCACTGTCACTACCGACCAGCGACATGAGTGTGACGTCGTTGGAGGACGTGGTGGTTTTGCTGGAGGAGTTGACGTCGAAGTTGATATTTTTTGGGAACCACACGTTGGACAGTGTCCTGAATGAGTTTTGGCACGACTTCTCGTGTGCCATTCAGATGCAACCTGACATATTTATCCACAAGGACAAGATTTTGGCAAAACGGAGTCTGGCTGCCTTGTTTACAAGTAAAGTATACTTGCACGTCGACTCATTGCCGAATTCCCTGCGATACGCCTTAGCTGCCAGCGATATGATCAATATGGAAGCTTGTGATGAATACACACAGAAAATAATCGCCAAGTGCCTGGACCACTACGCAAAAGTCTGTATGAAAAGTGCTGAATACACAGCTCCACTGCTGTCCATGGATGTGCGTTTGGAAGACGTTGTCAGTTGTATTTTTCGAAAGTGTTTAGACGACAAACATTACAAACTTGGATTGAAATTGGCATTGCGAACGAAGCGTATGGATATGTTCAACAAATGTATCAAATCAGGAGACAACATTAATGAAATGTTATCTTACGCTAAGCAGGTGACAATGTGCACTTTTGAAAATCGTAGTTTTCGTACTACAGTGCTACTAAGTCTTGCCAATCTTTATCGAAAACAAAATGACTTTATAAGTTTAAGCCAATGTTTCGTGTCTTTAAATGACCCAAAATCAGTAGCTCAACTTCTTAAAAATCTTATTAAAAAAAGTGATAAAAAATGTTGCTTAATGGCATATCAGATAGCAATAGATTTATTTGAATTGGCATCTCAACGGTTTTTGTTCAGTGTTCTTAAATCTTTATGGCAAAAAGTTCCTTCTAGTACTCGTACTACTAAAACTATAACTGTTGTGTCAAGTAAAGTTACTGCAATTGAACATAATACTAAGGTACACTCTATTGAATCTGTTGGGCCTATTGATAAATACCACCAAGAAATGATACAAAAGCTTACCAAAGTGTTAAGTGGAAAATTGAGTATAGAGAAAAATTTACAGTTTTTAACTAGAAATAATCACACAAACATGTATATTTTAAATCACACAAGAGATTCAGCTTACACAAATATCTGTTACACGGCTACTATGATCTCTAATGGTTTTATAAATAGTGGTACAACAAGTGATCATTTTTTAAGGTAAATTGTTTAATTTTTTAGTATAACAATATTTTTAATATTTAAACAATTTACTATTATATGTTGTAGGTATAATCTGGAATTAGCCAACTGGACCACTTGGGAAATATTTTCTGCTATGGTTTCACTTGGTGTTATTCATAGAGGCAATGAAACAGATGCTCTTGAATTAATACACAGCTACTTGTGTCTCAAGAAAAATAATTCATCAGAAAGTTTATGTTATAGTAAAGGCGGTGGTCTATATGCTTTAGGTTTAATCTTTGCCAATCATGGTACAGCTATTAATGATTATCTTCTCAAACAACTCAAAGATGCACAAAATAAAGTAAATTAAAACCAATTACACTTTAAAATATATGATTTTATTATTCCATTTCTTATTTTAGATTGTGAAACACGGATGTTGCTTAGGGATTGGCCTATCTGCTATGGGTACATGTCGTAAAGATATTTTTGATCAACTGAAAATCAATATGTATCAAAACAACTATGTGTTTGGTGAAGCTGTCGGGTTAGCTATGGGCTTGGTTATGTTGGGAACAAAAAATGACGAAGCTCTTCAAGACATGGTAGCATTTGCTCAGGTAACACAGAATGAACAAATATTGAGAGGTTTAGCTGTTGGAATATCATTTTTCATGTATGACCGACTGCAAGAAGCTGACCAATTAATTACTTCTTTGCTACAAGATAAAAATCCTATATTGCGTTGTGCTGCTATGTACACAATATCCATGGCATACTGTGGAACTGGAAGCGAAACTGCAATTACAAAATTGTTGCATATTTCAAATTCTGATGTTAGTGATGATGTACGTTCCGCAGCTGTTACAAGTTTAGGATTTTTATTGTTCAGGACACCTGGGCTTTGTCTTCAAATTGTCAGCAAACTCACAAAGAGTTATAACCCTTACATTAGATATGGTGCAGCTATGGCACTTGGTATTGCTTGTGCTGGTACTGGACATGTAGAGGCCATTAATTTATTAGTACCATTGATTAATGATTTGGTAAATTTTGTGCGTCAAGGAGCACTAATTGCTTCTTCTATGATTTGTATTCACCACACAGAGAGCACATGTTCCGAAGGCAAATATTTCCGTTCTCTATATGCTAAAGTGATCAGTGATGAGCATGGAGACGATGTGGTTAAATTTGGAGCTATTTTAGCTCAGGGTATTATCGATGGTGGTGGTCGTAATGTTTCAATTTTATTGGAATCAAAAATTGGACACACTAATATTTTAACAATTGTGGGTCTAATGTTGTTCACACAATATCAGTACTGTATATGTCTAGCCCATTGCTTAACTCTAGCTTTCACACCCACTTGTGCCATTATACTGAATACACAACTCAATATTCCAGTCTTAGAGTTAAAAAGCAGAAAACGAATCAATCATACAATACATTACAATTCATTACCTCAAGAACTTGCTGAAAAAAGAGGATGGTAAGTTATAGGTACATCAGTTTACATCAGTTGTATGCCTTAAACCAGTGGCGGTTCTAGATGTTCACCTATAAAAGTTCAATAATATCATGTCAAAGAATTATTAGTCTAAAGAATGAAAATAGCTCATTAATATTTACAACTTGTTAAAATTATTTTGTTTTTTAATCTTCAGTTATACGTAACACTGTCACTATTTACATAAGTACCTACATCATTTTTTTTTTTTTTTAATACTTCAATGATAAAAGAATAATGTATTGAAAGATATTGTAAAATTATTTAATGTATGCAACATAAACATATTCACAAATAGTGTTTGGGATTTGGGAGGGGGCTAAAGCCTTACTTTGATAATATTGAATAAGCTTTAAAGAAAATGCAGAAAAAGTTTAAGGGGCTATGGACATTTGGGGGGACGGCTAAATCCCCCCTCTATTTGCGCCTATGAACATAAGGCACATTCTATTTTGTTTAATAGAATAAAGAAAATATATATTTTTTTGCTTTCATAATTTAACTGTAGTGTAAAAAAAATGTTGTGGTTAGGAAATCTAGGTTGGCCTATAGCTTACTTTTAAATGTATTATATTTATGCCAGAACGAAATTTGAGTCCTAGAACCGCCCCTGCCTTTAACACATATTACTAAGTAAGCATCATTATTGAGTATTTAAATATTTATAGTATGAGATAAAGGCAAAAGTGAGGTCTTAAAAATGACTGGATACAATAGTATGTAAAGAATAATAGTTGAGGAAGTCACACTCATTTGTATTTACCCTTTAACATAATTACATAATAGTGATCATAATATATTTTCATTTACATTATAGAAATTTTTCTTTTTCAGGATCCAGTACTTATTTAATCAAAGCTTTAAGACAAAGTCTATTAAACGCCGTAGAAAACACTCAAAACTTGATTATTTTGATTACAGTGTTCTGATTCCTAAAACTGTACAAGATATAGAAGTATGTAGTGTTTTTTTTATATTTACATAGTTTAATATGTCGTATGTGACACATAAATTGACTAATGCTTATGGGCATTAAAGTGTTTGTCATAAATAACTTATTTAATTATTTGAAAATATTCCTGTGTTAATATAAAGCTATAATAATTATTATTTTAAGTAATTTTTTCGGTTTGCCTAAATCCAAAATTCAGTTGTAAACTTAAAGTAAAAATTATTGTTTTAGTATTAATAGTCAATTTTTAGAGCTATTTGTTATGAAAGTTAAACTATTATTATTAACACCCAACAACTAACAAGTATTCAAATAGGGAATTATGTAAGTTTTAAATTAAGGTAGTAGATAGGGAAAGTAGATATTGCATGAAATGATTATATTTTTTTTTCTATTTATAATACAAAATGTATTCTAGAAGGGGGTCAAACTGCTCAAGGTTCAAAAAATTTAACCGAACTAGATAATCAGTTCAAATTCAAAGAACTCTAAATTCGAACATGTCTAATGTTGTGAACAAGAAATAAAATTCTTTTGTCTATTTTATTGACAAAAAATATGCCTGTATTCTATGCTTGTTTATTATTTAAGTGCAGAGTTAAATGTTCATTCATCATTAAAATAAGCTCTTAAAAACATTATAAACACTCAAATAAGTATTTAAAAAACTTAAATTTAAGCAAAAATATTTATTAAAAAAAAAAACAATAAAATAAAAAATAAAACTTTATCTTTAGATTATAAAAAAAATTAAACTTCATTTTCAGGACTGAGGATTTTATGGATTTTCCAAGGGATTTTCTGAAAATAAAATGTAAACAATATTTACAAATAGTTGAAAAAAAATTAATTTTTTAATAAATTTTAATAAATTTTTTTATTTAAATTATTTTTAATTTTAATTCTATCAAAAACAACTTTGCAGTAGAAAATCATAAAAAGTATAAAAACTGGTCAAAAAAGCAATAATTATCAGAAAAACTTGAAATAAGCATTTTTTTGAAAAATCACTGAAAAAATCAAAAAAAAGCACTCCAATTTCATAATTGAATGTGTTGTAACATGACATACACTTCTATAGCACTCTGCTACATTTTAAGTCAATCTATAAAAATAAGCAAATGCTTTAAGCCCTGAGCCCTGGTAATAACCTAACTATACTCTTTTCAGAATAAGAACGCACCAGATTTACGTAACAAAACTGGTTTTGTCCGTGGCCGCCTGGTTCCTTCTTATTCTGAAAAGAGTATAGCTTATAATTATTTTGGCTTTTTGTTCTTCACAAAATTGAGGTTGTATGGGTTTGATTTAATGTTGGATAAAATATTAAAATTTAATTTGTCATCAACACTAAATTGTTCGGTTTGAGACCATATTTTTGAGTATCACCCACCTCTACAATATACATTTAAACATTAAACTCAAGAAAAATTAATTAATAATGTGTATTATTTTTAATTTCAGGATATCAAATTGAATTGGTCAACTGGGCATTTTTTATTACAAAGGATAAATTGTTATTCTGAAAAATACAAAGGTATAAACTGTTTACAGTATGATGACAGTAAAATTGTTGCAGGCTTATGTGATAATACTATAAAAATATGGGATAAACAAACATTAAAATGTATAAAGGTGATGCATAAAAGTTTTAACCATTTCAATTTAACAAAATATTTTACTAATAATCTTTTGTTTAGGTATTATATGGCCATACAGGGTCTGTTCTATGTTTGCAATATGACGATAAAGTGATAGTGAGCAGTTCCAGTGATAGTACAATTCGTGTATGGGACATCCATACTGGCGAAATGATGAACACTATGATTCACCATACTGAAGCGGTCTTGCATTTAAGTTTTAGGAATAATATGATAGTCACTTGTTCAAAAGTTAGTTTTATAGACTTTTTTTTTAGTTATTATTTTTTTTTTTTATATATAATATTTTAGTCATCATGTTCATTATTATTCTCTAATATAGGACCGTTTAATAGCTGTATGGGATATGTGGTCACCCTTTAAAATTACTTTGCGTTGTGTTCTGTATGGTCACCAAGCAGAAGTAAATGTAGTAAATTTTGATGATATTTACATTGTATCAGCTTCAGAAGATTGTAGTATTAAAGTATGGAATACATCAAGCTGTGATTATGTGCGCACTCTTATTGGTCACACATCCGGTGTTATCTGCCTTCAATATAAAGAACGATTAATTGTTAGTGGAAGTTCTGATAAAACTATAAGGTAATAGTTATAACATATATCACTTTTTTAAAGTACGATCTAACTTATGACAAAAATAGTTATTAAATTAATTTTGTTTTTTATTGCATAACTAGATTATGGGATATTGAATATGGTATTTGTTTAAGAATACTGGACGACTACGATGAATTGGTGCTATGCATTAGATTCAATAGTAAAATAATTGTCAGTGGAGCATATGATGGGTAAGATATTATATTTTGATAAATAAATATATATTTTATTTGTATATCCCATAAATTGTTTCTTACTTCTTCGTATATATATATTACAATTGTTCTTGTTTATTATTACACATAACAGTTATTTATAATTTATAGTTTTTATCATAATAATCATGTCATATTCAGCTTTAATAATTTTAAGACTTTAACATATCTTGTTAGTCAAAGTTAGTTATGTAATTTTAATATATTATACAATTTATGATTTCAAGGAAAATTAAAGTATGGAATTTAGAAGCAGCATTAGATCCCAGAGTTCCAGTATCTAGTCTATGCCTACGTTCACTTAAGGTAATTGTTGTGTGCTTGTTTTGAAGTAAAAAGTTAAAAAGAGAGTAAGTTATTAAAACTTATTAAATTAGTTGCTTAGCAATACCTCTCTTTGCTATAAAATATTTAAGTGGACGCCACACCTGCATGTGTTGTCTCCGTCTTACAAACGTGTAACATATTAAATTTACGCTCAGAAATTCAAGTTCTATTCCTTTAGCTTAAAAACTACAGTGAATCAACTTATGAAACTTGATGGTAAAAACATTATCTGTGGTTTATTGGAAGTTTTTTTTACAATAATTCAGTTTTAAAGTGAGTTATGACTTTATGAGCATTTTTAAGTTACATTTATTGTACACACTATAACGTTCTTACCATCAAGTTTCATAATAGGCATATTCACTCTAATTTTTAAGCTAACGGCTTATAACTTGAATTTCTTAGCGTAAATTTGGTTTGTTACGTGTTTGTAAGACGGAGACAACACAGGTGTGGCGTCCTCTTAATACAACTACTTGATTTTCGTGAAGCTGCATGTACTTACATACAATTGTTTTATATTTTATTTTCTAAATGAAACATTAATTTTAGCTATAAATCACAATAAAGTATCAAAAAAAAAAACCAAATGATTTATTATTGTATACCTAGAACTGAAACTACTATTATAATACTGTGTTATATTATTTTTATTATTGAAACATTGAGGAAATAAAATAATTTTTATCTTGCAGATGCACACAGATGCAGTGTATGATCTAAAATTTGATGACTTCCAAGTTGTCAGTTGCTCAAGAGATGGCACTATACTAATTTGGGATTTTCTCAATTATAATGACACAAATTACATGGAAGCAAGTTCTTCAAACTACATATGTGTGCATAATGGTTCTGAAGTACTTGCTACAAACACCCCTCCTTCCCGTATGTTGTATCTATAAATCTTATATATAATAATATGGTATATTTTATTTCAGAAATCCACTCATTATGTAATTATTTATAGGTTTTCAGTGACTTGGAGGTGACTTGTTCATTACTCAGATCGGTGTTTTGCTACATTAATACAATACAGTATTCATTGTAAATAGTCGCATAAAGATAGAAAAGTAATCTATTTTTTATATTATTATTTTATTGATTTAAACATTTGAAAGCTTACAAAAAAGAAAAGATAAAATTGACTAGTTCTTTAAATGTTTGACCTTATAATATTTAGTTATTTTTATATGGTGTTTTCATAAAATAATTTTGAGAAGCCCCTTTTATATTACATTGATGAAATATGGACTGAATATTTTTAGCTTTTTGTTATGCTCAATCAGATGAGATGTTTTTTATTTTTTTTATTTATAAATACTTAAAGTTATTAATAGTTAAGTTTATCATAATTTATTAGTTATACGTCATATTATGAATAAATTAAAAACACTAATTAGTTGGAAAACATTAATTTATTTGTATATTTACTGTTAAAATTACAAATAACAGAAATTACATCAAACCATGACCATTTTGCATTAATAAACTTTTTTATCTGTGGATTTTGTTTTAACTATGTATTTTTAATCATAATAATATCTTCTCCTAAACAAGACAATTGTATGCATAATAATTATCAAGAATACTTACTATATTATTTCCAAAATTAATATCTGAGGTATATAAATATTTCAAGTACAATGTTATGTTATATACTTGTAAGAAGCATGAATAGCTATCTATAATTAGTAATCACCTATATTATTACCTATTATTTATTCTGTAATCAGAACTGTAATGCTTTTGAAATAATAATTAAAGTATGGATAGTATTTAGGCAATTATTCCCTTGTCCACTTTCAATACTTTACAGATAGTATGTACTAAATGTACCTATTGCTTAAATTAAATATCTAAATACTATAAAACTGATGAAATTGCTCTGCTGTATGTCTGCATGTATGATCCAAGTGTACATTTTCATTGAATAGGTTGCTGTAATGGATGTATTAAATTTAGTAGTTCTAACTTATAAGGTGGAGCTGGAGCTACTGAATAAAATCATATCCCCCCTTCCCAAATCAAAAACCTTAACACGCCCTTGATATCAAAATCTGTTGATATTTCCCCGTATGCCAATGCCAACTAAATTATTAACTAGGAACTCGTATGGCATTCCAAAAATCGATCCCGTCCTACCTACCTACCTACCTACCTATTTATGTTAGTTGGGTGGTAAATTATTTTGAATTTTGTAATCCAATATTTTAATAAACTATTAAATGGTTAGGTACAGAAAAATGCACCTACCAAAATCGCTTGATCGCTGAAATACGATGAAATCCAGTGAACAAGATTTATGGGTGTTACAATTTTAGGCATCGCGTCCTCGCTTGTTATAAAATAATCGTACCTATCAAAACGTCATAGTGACAAGACCCGTGAGAACCAGATGCTCATTGGCGGGATTTGTCTCATCGAACAGAAGATGAGTACCGCTAGGTAATCATAAACACGATATTATCATTATTCTATTACGGTTCAAAATTTCGTGTACCATAACATAATATCATTGATTATAAATACTAGTATTTATAATCAATGATAATATTAATGTGTACGGCCGTACTGGTCCGTCGGTTTTTATGGCAATTTTTAGTGTCCCTCGCGTAGGTATTCTCTCTTATAATGTATTAATGAGTTCTGTCGATACAGGTTAGGTTATCATATTTTGATGTTTACACTGTTGCGGGCCAACTGACTTAATGAATGGGGGTTAATCATAGGCGCAATTTCAACTTTTGGCTTGGAGGGAGGCTGAATATACTTAAGGCAAGCGGACTATTGCAATAAAGCATATTAAAATTGTATGCCCTAGATTTTTGGAGGGGGCTACGGCAAAGTTTGGGGGGCTTAGCTCCCCCAAGCCCCCCAAATTTGCGCATATGGGGTTAATAATTCATAAATCAATTAAAAATGTTTGATCGTTAATCAACTATATATTGTTAATTTATCATTATGGCGTTATCGTATAAGTAATAAGTACCTATTTGACATCGACTAAGACTAAAGACTAAAACCTTTAATTTTTTTTCCGTGGCACTGCCATTTGGGGACTAAATTGTTTGCACACTACCTAATTGGCCCCATGGCCCCATGCTGCATCGTTTATCCAACTAAAATAAAATATTTACTACATTGGTTGCCCCCATGAAAACTTAAACCTACTTTCCTTTGCTTGAGCTTTCCTTATCTTTCCAATGATATACTTAGTACAGTTAGGGTTAACCGGAATGGATGGTTAACGGGTGGGTTGAACGTCTATAAATTAACCAACTTATGTGTGAATACCTAATGTTTGTATGAAACATTAATTTTTTTGTGGGAATTGGGTTGTTCCGTAGTTAGGCTTAAACCTTTAAAGCATTCACAGAGCTTATACATATCTTACCTATATGAAAAGGAGATAAGATTTTTTTATACAGACTACAATTATGTATAATTGGTTTTATATTTTTAACGTTATGTTGATTTGATTGTGTTGCTCGTGTAGTTTCGATTTTGATAAAATCGTTACAGTCAGGTATATTACGCATAATATATTGAGTATAATATTAACATAATATTAAAATCTCAATAAAGTGGGCGCATATCGATTCCGCCGATTTTGTATCGATTCCGCCGGCTACTGTTTATAATATTTACACATTGATTCCGCCGGACACTGTTCATCCCCCCTTTGTATATGTATTTTAAAATGCATAGTATATTTAGTATAATTTGGACAATATATGCAACTATAAATTAAAATATTAGTATTTAATTAATATGTGTATGTGAATATACATATATTGTTAATTGTATGTACCTAGTCAAAATTGTATAAAAATATTATAATTGTATAGTTCAAAATTAAAGTGTATAACTACTTAGAAGAAGTAAGCGATTGCTTTACGATAGATTTGATGTCAGTTTCTCCAGTTGATGAAAGGATAATTAAGTTCTGTGATTATTTAGTTGAATATTATATTGATGAAGGTGCAAAATTCAATCCACATATTTGGGCATCGAGAGAAATAACATCGGAACGTACTACAAATAGCTGTGAGTCTTTCCACACAAAATTAAATTCACAATTCACAAAAGCTCACCCCAACATTTTCATATTCACCCATGTTTTACATAAAAAAATACAAACTGACACTTATACACACAGTGGCATCCGCAGGATTTTTCAATGGGGGGGGGGGGCTTGAAAATTAGTTACATTTTTATTTTGTCCAGTTTAATAATTTCAGACGTTTATTTGAGGTATTTTAAAATTTTTGTAACTTTTCAACTTTCTGGTAGAAAAAATGCTCTGATCATAAGCTTCGATGCGCAGTGTATGTTTTTGGAAGCAAATTGGATCTAGTTGGTACTTTTAGGGGGTCGAAATTGAAAATTCTCAGTGCTTTTAAAAATAATTGGAGAAAAAAAAATGAAAATTAATTTAAATGTTTGGTTATACCGTCTTCACTTGGATTGTATTTGAATAGTTAAATTTTTTTTTCTATATAAATGTTAATAAAAAATTATATTTAATTATTATAACATAATTATATTTATCCGGTCAAAAACCTTAAAAATGTAATATGTAAGTTATTTTATTATAGCTAAAATATTAACGATACATAGGCATAGTGTTTGAAAATTTCATGAAATTTAAAAAAAATGAAATATTTCAATATTTTGATATATTTTGTTTTATTTTTAAATAAGTTTTATATTTACATATAATTGTCATAAATTACCATCATAACTATATAGTACCTGTATGTATACCTAACCTTTGGTATTATACATTTAAAATGGTATTCAAAATTTTTAAATATTTTAATGTTTAAATGATACAAGTAGGTATACAATATTATACATGTTTATTGTATATAAATACTGAATTCTGTCATTAGAATTTAGAACACTGAACATTGTGTTAAAAAAATAAATAAATTGTGTTTTTATTTGTGTAAAATAATTTCAAAGTGTCACGTTTTTGTGGAATATTTCATACTTCAAACACTACATAGGCACCATGGTTATTTCTTATAAGCATTTAAAGTTCAAATTTTGTCAAAATGACAGTTAATTTGTAGTTCAAAACTTATAAAATATAAAATATATTATATAGCTAAGGCTAGACAATTTAATACAAGGTCTTTCATACAAGTAGTTCATACTTTTACCTAAAAATTACAGATAATTTATGAAAATTGGTATGCAAATACAATGTTCTTTCAAAAATGAATTCATTCTGGTAAGACATTTATGAAATTTACTTCTTGCTTACTATAGTTGACAGTTTAACTTGATTAATATTTTTTTGAAAAAGTAACAATAATACGGGCGATGGGGGGGGCTTCAGCCCTTTAGCCCCCCCCCCTGCGGACGCCACTGTATACACATATAAACGGAATAAACATCGAGAAAAATAGCAAAAATAGTGCTTTTAACAAAAAAAAGACAAAGTATTAAACATTTATCAAATGATTTGAACGATAATAAAATTTCTAGGATCACTTATTTAAAACATGTGTCCAGATATTATCAAAAGTAGTTAGATTTATACCTACATTTTTATTTTATACTTATACACTATTATTATCATTTTATTCAATTTACGGGGTATACATTTTAAAATATCATATACCTACATAATATTAATTAGAAAAAAATGATTTACATTTATACATTTTTATTTTATACTTATACCTATACTATTATTATCATTTTATTCAATTTAGACATGTGACCAAATATTATGATCAAAAATATTTACATTTATGCATTTTTATTTTATACCTATATAGAATTTATTATATAATTGTATACAATTTAGGGCCAAATAACATTCATGAATAAGACTTTGGCTTAAGAAAAGAAAAATTAATACTTAAATGTATAAAGTTGGTCGAGAGTTCGAGACCTACCTTAAGTTATTATCACAAGTTTTTATTTTTTAAATTATCAAATATTAAATTATTAAAATTATTAAA